TTATCTGTGTCATCATCATATTGTTAGTTGGTAATTAATTGAAATATATTTTGTAATTTTAATGAGTGACACAACATTAAACATAATCAACTTTATCCTTATAATCGTCCCCATCAACTTTATCTTCGCCACCATTTTCGTCATCATCATCGTCATCATCTTCTTCATCGTCATCTTTTTCATCGTCGTAATCATTTTCATCATCGTCATCATCATCATCATCTTCTTCTTCATCAGCATCTTCATCATCATCGTCGTCGTCATCATTTTCATCAATGGCGGACAGACTACATATGCTTGAAAAATCTCAGCGACTGACAAGTTGATGACGTAAGAGAGCAGGTGATCAGTCAGGTGACCTCTCGTATGAATTTATGATGACGATGATGTCTGTGACGATGATGTTCATGATGATGATGTTCATGATGATGATAAGAAAGATAAGACGACAATGATAACCGATGATAAAGATGATAACACCATGACCAATGGCACATGTTAAAAATTTATTTCCATAATATTTATAATTTGCCGTTAAAATTTTTATAAAATTTTTGATCTCACTTGTTTCAGAGTACCAAAACTTTTTTCAAAATAGCTATCTTCAGTAATAATAAAAAGCCATTGGTCATAGTGTTATCATCTTTATCATTGGTTATCATTGTCGTATTATCTTTCTTATCATCATGTTTGCAAACCTAAAAATGACAAATATAAAATGATAGTCCGTTATTTATTTTAATTTTTACAATTTCAAATTTTAATTTAATGTAATTTGTTTGAAAAAAAGTTTTTAAAACTTTTAATGTTTACAAACTTTTGAACTACTTTTTAAAAATTGGTTTATTTGTAGATGTAACACTCTCTGATAGATGCTATAATTTGTTTCTATCTAAAACTTTTCCAAAAGGTTTTTTCAAGTTTTAAAATTTTTCTTACTATGAACAAGTTGTTAATTTGGTTTAACAATTTTAAATTTCAGTTAATTTATTTTCTGTTTTTATCCTTTTTATTCTTAAAAACTTTTTTTGTTCTCACCCTCCTCGCTTTAAATCATTGACATTACTTTTACTGTTACTGCTACATTACTGTTACTTTCTCCAAGACAATCTTACAAACTTGGTTGAGGCGTTTGGCACCGTTGTTGAAGTGATAAGACTGGATGGAATTCATTGAGATACTTGGCTATCAGAAACTATTGACATTGCTATTTCTGTTATTAATATTATATTTTCTGTTACTTATGTTAAGGGTGACCTAACAGACTTCGGTCTCGGGTTTCCTAGTAATTAACTTGTTTTCTGCTGAATTAAAGTTTCTTTCAATTTCAATTTCAATTCATTGGCTATCAGAAACTATGTATGTGATGATTTGGTACCTCTGAAAATTACTAAAGAAAAAATTATGGAAAATATATTAATACTTGCTTTTATTTCAATACTTAGGCTATTACTACTACTGCTACTACTGCTACTACTACTACTACTACTACTACAACTAGTAGTAGTATTTACTACTACTACAACTAGTAGTAGTAGTATTTACTACTACTACAACTAGTAGTAGTAGTATTTACTACTACTACAACTAGTAGTAGTAGTATTTATACTACTACTGCTACAAAATCATAAAATAATAATAATATTAATAAAAATTATAATGAAAAAATATTATTATTAATAATACAGGAGCCAGTATTAAAATAGCAGTATGTTGTCAAAGGAATTAGCGTCAAAAGCAGCAGAATTTTTTCGTCATGCCCACGTCATCATCAATGATATATATAATCGCGTTCGACATTGGGTTTGTATTCATCGTCGTCATCATCATTGTCATCCTCATCGTCGTCGTCATCGTCACACATATAAAATCACACACACACACACACACACACACACACACACACACATATACAAACACACATATACATAGGCGCGCGCTCACACACAATTATAAAACCCCACATAAATACATTCGTGATATTAACCAATGATATAGACGCTTTTTAGCATCACGTGATTTCTATTTTATGACGTCACGAAGTACAAGCATGGCTTAGCACGTCATTCATTTATGTCAATAAAAGTTCAGCTCCAAATAAATAACGATTTGCATCTTTTTTTGCTAAAAGTTTTTTCTTGATTTTTTTTCGTTTCGTTTCTTTTTTCATTTTATTTTTCTTTCATTGGTGTTTATTTATTTTTTTATTATTTCATCCGTTCGTCATCCAATGATGACGCTTCGATTTTTGTTTGCATGACTTTTTAATACGTAGTACATAAACGTGTGTGTGTGTGCGTGTGTATGTGTGCGTGTTTTTATGTGTGTGTGTGTTTGTATGTGTGTCTGTGTGTGTGTGCTTGTGCAGGTGTTCATACATAATTGCTAATTTAAACACATGAAAAAATACCAAATCACGCACATAAAATCATACCAATTTATACACACAAACCCACACACACACGCACACATACACACGCAGACATATAGTCTGTTTATTTAATATAAATTTATACATTGCATGCACATTGTACGTGGTTGACTCAGACAAATTGCCTTATAGCCTCATATTGAGATTTATAGGGCCATTTATTGAGATTAATTTTTTATGTGTTTGCTCTCCTAATTAGCACACATCTACCAAAATTACTTACCGAAAAATAAATAAAAACGGTTTTTACGTTAAAAATATTATAAAAAATTAATAAATTAGATGTTGTAGATGTGAATAGATATAGTATCTTATAGTGTTGGCTGTTGTAGTAGGTTTGATTGAATTTTTAAAAATAAAAAAAAATAAAAAAATATGGATAATATTACTGATTGCAATGAAAGTCGTCGTTAATCTTTACCAGCCATGGAAACTTATGATGAATTAATTTACGGTAAAACAGAAAAATAGTAATAAAGATAAATATTACAAATAAGATACTTCTTATCCGTCTGGCGAGTTTTTTCTCTTCATTCCATTCCTTTCGCTGTGCAAGCATATGAACAGATGTCAAAATTATCGTGATGTATGCTTATGTATAGTGTATAGGGTGGAAAAAAGGTTAATTATTATATATGCATGCATGTGTGTTGTATGTGTGTGTGTGTTCTATGCGTGTGTGTGTGTATGTTTGTATGTGTGTTTATAAACGTTTGAAGACATAGATGTGTGTGTCTGTGTGTGTGAGTGTCTGTGTGCGTGTGCGAATGTATAAATTAGGTATAAATAAATGTTAGGACCGCTGCTTTCATATCATATTCATATTTTTTTAGTTTATATATTTATTTATTAGTTCAGACATAACATGAAATCTGTATATGTATTCCATGTATAAACGTGTTTGTGTATAAATTGTACTGCTATCATTTATATATTTGGGATATTGATTTAGTTAGAGTCTTATAATTACTTCCACAATATCTAAAATGATTGACATTGGAAGGTTGATGGTTAGAAAAGATAAAGTGAAAGAAAGAGAGAGGAAAAAAGAAAGAGAGAAAGAGTGAGAGAGAGAAAGAGAGAGAGAATAAAAAAGAGAGAGAGTGAGAGATACAACCTAGAGATATATTTGAAGGGCTTGATAAGATCTTCATGAACATAATGCAAAAATGCCGCAAGATATCGAATCACAATTATGTTTCTCCTGTAGAGAAATGTTTAGTTAAAATGTGACAAGAGAAAAAAATAGAAATATAATATGGAAATTTATCTATCTAATGATAGGAAAATTGGTAACTAATCTAGTATTTAATGAAAATAAAAGCTGAACAAACTTTGAAATTTAAAACAAATTAATAATGATATAACTTCCACTAAATGAACAAAGTGAACAAACACAAACAAACCAAAATCTCAACAGATAAGTCTAATTAGCTGGGAGTTTTTGCGTTATCTTCATAATTTTCTCCATTTTTTTAGTTTATAGCTATCTTTTTTTTTAATGTTTCAAGTTTCTTCAAACTTTTTAAGCTCTCATGCAATTAGGTGCAAAACAATATGATAATTATAAAAGTTCATTTTTTAGTTAAAAATAGATTTAGTGAAGAAACATTTTTTTGTCTGTTCTTGTATTTTTTAAAACTGAGTAAAACACAAAACTATACATGCGCGCACGCACATATGCACGTAAAACAATTTTTTAATGGAAATAATGAAGCCTGTGTAGTTTCCTATTTCCAATTTCAAAATCTATCTGTATCACATTTTGGTGTTCATCTGTTTGTATTTGTGTTCATTCAGGCGTTCATAAGCATATTTTGGTTCATCTATCTATTCATTTGTAGGTTTGCTTGTTGTTTGCTTGTTTGTTTGCATTTGTTCACTGTTTTGTTAGTCCGTTTGCTGGTCCGTCTGTTCACATTTTACAACTCATTTGTTTATTTTTTGTTTGTATATATAATTTTTAATTTTTAGCTAATCTTTTGTTCATTCATCCATTTAATTGATCATTTATCTGTTCCATTGTTTAGACAATATTCATTCACATGTTCATTCACATGTTCATTCAAATGTTCATTCATTTGTTCATTTACATGTTCATTCGAATGTTTATTTGTTTGTTCATTCACTTGTTCATTCACATGTTCATTCATTTGTTCATTCACTTGTTCATTCATTTGTTCATTTACATGTTCATTCGAATGTTTATTTGTTTGTTCATTCACTTGTTCATTCACATGTTCATTCATTTGTTCATTCACTTGTTCATTCATTTGTTCATTTACATGTTCATTCGAATGTTTATTTGTTTGTTCATTCACTTGTTCATTCACATGTTCATTCATTTGTTCATTCACTTGTTCATTCATTTGTTCATTTACATGTTCATTCGAATGTTTATTTGTTTGTTCATTCACTTGTTCATTCACATGTTCATTCATTTGTTCATTCACTTGTTCATTCATTTGTTCATTTACATGTTCATTCGAATGTTTATTTGTTTGTTCATTCACTTGTTCATTCACATGTTCATTCATTTGTTCATTCACTTGTTCATTCATTTGTTCATTTATGTGTTCATTGTCGTTGACAGTGAGCAAACAGTGTCGATGGTGTTAGAGAGAATGAATGGACGGCACGGACGCTGGTCAGTAAATAAAAGAAAACAAAAATCGGACAGAAATCCTGAAGAACGAAACAAAGAATGAAAAAATGTAATTAGATTGAAAAAAGAAGTTGGTGAGATAAAGAGGAGGAACCCGGAGAACGAGTGAGGAGAGGGAATGTAGGGTAGAAAGAATGAAAAAAGGTAGAAAAATTAGTTTGAAAGAGGCAGAGAAATAATGAAAAAAGAGCAAGAGAGAGAGAGAGAGAGAGAGAGAGAGAAGAGGGAAGAAAGAGAAATGAAGTGTTCTCTACTGCCTGATCTACACTTTATCAGTTTTGCCAATATCGATTAGAAATTTGTGTTGTGTGCTAATGTCTCTCTCTATGTTTGCTCGGTACAAATTTTTGTGTATGTGCATTTGTTTGTTTAAATCTATATATATATATATATATATATACATATACAGAAATCTTCAGATTTGGTTAAATGTATATATAAGTTTGTATAACAGTTTTACAAGTAAAGGTTTTTAGTGAAAGTTTATATGAGTAGTGTATTGTATGTATGCGTTTATGTGTGTCTGTACTTGTACATATAGCTGTGTGTAGGCTTGTGCATGTCGTTTGTGTGCACGCCTGACTACATCGTACTGTAGATAGTATAACAAAGGAATAAAACATTTTTTAATTTGTATTTATGCATACAAACAAATTTCCATTTGAGTGTATGGCATTTTATAGTGGGTTTCTTAAACGTAGGCGGTATTGGATGGAGAAAAAAAAAATTCAGAGACATGAAATCAAATCTCGAAAGTATAAAAATTTAAAAAATTAGAAAATACAATTTTTGTTATACGCGAGTATATAACGTATTTTGGTATATTATATTTTGTGTTTTGTTATATATTCGTATCAAATTGGATGGGAAAATGATGCTACGTTTACGATGACGTCATAACTGATTATGACATCAATGATGATGAAGATGATGCTAATAAGAATGACGATGCTGATGATGAAGGAAAAGATAACGACGGTGACAATGGTTTTAATATTGATGATGAAAATGATCTTAACATGATAATGATGCTGATGACATTAATATCCTATATCCATCCATCGATCCTTCCATCTATCCATTCATCTATCTCTTCATTCAATCATCCATCTAGCCCTCTATCCATCCAGCTATCCATCCATCCACTCCATCAACTTTCAGTGTGAGAGGAAATGGATCAATAATGCAAGACCGAAAAGAAATGAAAGGGGAAAAAAATACTACAAAGAATAAAGAATATAATTTTTTATAAAACTTTCGCCAAAATGTAACACACAAACAAATTTTAACACATAATAACAAATAACCACCAATGAAAAAAAACGAATTTTACATTTTGCAAATAAAATTTAACACGTAAGACCTCGCAAAAACACCAACGTTAACAAGATATAAAGAACAAAAACCAACGATTTTTCATGTGGTTGTGTGTAGGATGAATTTTTTCAAAAAAAAAACACACAGCAAGACAACAAACCTAAACAACTAAAAACAACAATAAACAACAACACAAACAGCAAACTACAAACTGAAAAATGGTTAAAAGTGAACTTACTAAAAAGTGCCATGACGCTATACGCACGACATTCTCCTACCAGAGATCTTTCGAAATTGGCGGAAAAATTGAAATAATAAGCAGACGAAAAAAATTCAAATTCTTGACCAGTTGACATGTTGATCGGTTTAGAACCGAATTTCTGTATTCGATATCGTTGTAAGTAGTTGTTGGAGCAAGGCACAATTGACCAACCTGTTGTTGTTGTCGTTGTTGTTGCTGTGTTTGTATGTTGTTTTTGTCGTTGTTGTTGTGTTTGTGTGCTGTTGTTGTTGTGTGTGTGTGTTGTTGTTGTGCTTGTGTGCTGTTGATGTCGTTTTTGCTGTTGTGTTTGTATGTTGTGTTGTTGATGTGTTCATGTGTAATACAGCAGCTAATAAACCGCATTAAGGTAATATAAAAAAATTAACCAGCCTACTGACCAATAGGATTGTAGCCGGGGAAGTAAATGCCGATGACGTCACCTTTCTCGACATTGATTGGAGGCTCGATGCGGACCTCGTGATTTCGAAGTTTTTCCGGGTGCACGAACGTTTGGCTGACCAGCTTATAGGTCAATGAGGATGGCGATGATGACGACGACACCGATAATGACGATGGTGTTGGTGATGTTTTTGAAAAGGCCGGAAATGACGTTGTCTCTGAAGGAATGCGTTGTTTACCGGATTGATTGTTGCGAAGCGGTTTCGACGGTTTCGGAGACGGTTTTTGTCGGTTTTGTGTCTGCTGTTGATGTTTCAATTGGTTCTGCCGTTCGGAGTAATAATACTGAAGAGTTAATTTGGTAGGACGCCATATCTGCAGATAGACCGAGTGCTTTACCGAGGTTGTTTTCGCGTAAAAATTCCAATAATCGATTTGGCATCGGGTCGGAATGGTCTGAGAGGGATTGAGGAGAAGGACAGAATTGCTGATGGAATCCTCTTCTCGTCGTAGGATCACTTCCTCACCCATGGCACGTGATTCTGGGAGATAAATGCATGGATTGAAAAATGGATGGATGGATGAAGGAATGGATAGACGGATGAATATATAAATAAATTGATGGATGAAGGAGTTGGATAAGTGGTTAAATGAACGGAAAAGGAAGACATTAAAAGATACGACGAATTCGAATAAATATAGTCAAAAATGTGATATCAAAATGATGAAACGAAGTGGATATAAATGGTTAGATGATACCGAATGATACTAATGATAATAAACTAACGCACTTTTATTGAGCCGATAACCTGATTACGGCAAGTATAATATTAATAAAAATAATGAGGAAGGTGTTAAAGATGATGATGATGATGATGATGATGTTGATGATGATGATGTTGATGATGATGATGACAACTTTGATGCTGATGATGATGTTTCGTAAAAAATAGAAGTATAATAATGGCAGTGGTAATGGCGTGAGACGCCGTTACGCCGGCTATCAATTGTCGTTAACGTCATCATCGTCATCATCATCCCCTTCATCGCCATCACCATTTTCGTCTTCATCACCATCATCATCTTCTTCTTCTTCATCATCATCACCGGCGTTCTCACCAGCATTATCATTGTCCTTTCCATCACCGTCACCATCTTACTAAATGCCGTTCAAATGAGTGCTTCTTCTACTTCTTCACTTGTTTGTGTTTTCTTAAATATGCGATTCTCTATTTTTTTCTTGGTTGCAATATTCAGCGCAAATACTCTTAAACATAGGTTACATCAGCATATTACATACACAAACATACAAACAACGGTACAATTCAACACACACACAAACATACAAACACGTACATAATACAAATACATACATGCATACATACATACATTGGCGTGGGATGTTACGGTCCCTGGCACCCTCGCCGAACGATATGTAAACCTGACAAGTAAAGAATGCGGTTTGGCCGCGGCCAGGGCAGCTGACGAGAAAATGAAAAAATATGGGAACGCCCTTCCCTCGATGGAATTCTTGCCAATATGCATCGAGGTTCTCGGCCCGATGGACCCCAACACCCTTAAATTTCTTAAGGCAATATGTAAAATGATCAGCGTCAGATCAGGCGACAGCAGGGAACTGTTTTTCGCAACTAACCACATTTCGTGCTTGTTGCTGCGGTTCCTGCGTGTCTGTGTGCTTGAAAATATCCAACTGAATGCCGACATGTGCAATTAACGACAAATCAAAGTGTTAATCTATTTGTTACTTGATGTTTGACGGTTCAGTGTCACTCATCATGTTTTAGTTTTAACATACATACATACATACATATGTGTAATACAAACAAACATTTATTAGCAGTTATGTATCTTGTTCTCATCTTTTTTTCCTAACTTTTTATTAGTTTAGGTAGGAGTAAAATAGGTGAGCCTTGGCTAAAGTTAAATAAAAGTTTATAAAAAAAATTGTTTGATCATAGGTTGATGCAACCGCACAAAAGAAATGACTTCATTCCAAACTTGTTTGGTTTGCTATGTATTCTTTGAAAGGCACCCTTCCTCTAGATGGAATCAGTTGTTCGCCGATGGTTACAAAAGAACTTACAGCACACGATTTTTTACAATTATCAATGAATAAATTCCAAAATTCGCTGAGAGGAGAAAACTCTGCACGTGTATCACAGTTGCAAGATTAAGATTAAGACTAAAAGGCGATTAATGCTGAATACTGCAGGAAATATTGATCTTCCAGACATTCATTGTGACCATAGTGATCTGAGTGACTCGTGTTGAGATCTATAAACGCAAAGCAAAAAGAAAATACCAATGACTCCTTTTAACTCTTCAGCATCTTTAATTTTCAGGCATTCGCATTTTTACCTTTGAATTTTATTTTAAAACGGCCAAACTGGTTTGTATGTAAAACAATCATTTGCAACATACAAATTCAGCACCTTTGAGTTGCATTAAAGAGCGCTATATAAATTCTCTAATAATAATAATAATAATAATAATAATTTTTTTCCAACTCCAATCTGACCTTCCATGTTATGCCTAATACTTGCAACTCCCACTCGAGAATTTGAAGGAGGATTTGCATCCCATATTATAACTACCATCCCTACTGATATAAGCTTTTTGCTTATTTCCTGCTTGTGAATGCTGTTTTTTACTGTTCTTATCCCTCATT